TATGTGACTTAATTATAAAAAAACAAAGATTCAGCATCAATAAAACAGGAATATAATCCATTATTAAACAGGAGTATAAAATTTCTAACCTTTCCTCTATTAAAGATTCTCTACTCATTGAGTCATTGTCAACATGAACTAAATTGGTAATAAATGACTGTATTGCAAACTCATGAATTGTTCGAAGATAAAAAAAACAATTTTCCAAAAGAGGGAAAAAGAGGAAAGAAAAAGACTATTTGTATGTGTGAGAGTGAGGGGGTATGACTTATTAGAGCGACGAGTCTCTGTCATCAACCATTACAACTTTGGCACTGAAAACCATGGCGGTCTGATCTTTTTCTGTTCTTTTTTCTTTTTTCCTTTTTGACATTTATATGGGTTGCAATGCAGAATCGCAGCAGAAAGGACTGCACTGTTCATCTCTTCTTCGTCCAAACACACATACTTCTTTTCCCTTGTTTACTGTGATTAATATACTACGAGGCCCCTTTGGAAACGATATTTTCGGCTTATCAGTCAATTTTTTCTTTAGATGAGCATTTTTAGTTATTTTTATGTATAATTTTTTCTTTATTTTATTGATAAAATATGGAGTATATTTTAAAAAAATTATTCTTAAATAAGCAGAATCAACCAATGCAGTCACTTCAGTAAAAACTTCATAAATTTCAACAAAATCAGCCAAATCAGCCGATTTTCGTGTTACCAAACGGGCTCTACATATTGTCCAAGAAGATTGAATTCTCATTACAAGGCCCCATGTCCCGACGCGACAGAACATATGAGAGGTTGTAAATCACAATGACTCAATCAATCCCAAAATTGATAAATTTATATCCTTCTTCGTTAGAGGTTCAACGCAACACACAAGAATTATAACTTCTACACGGCCGCAATGGATTTTAATCCTGACCTTATTCATTGTCTAAACTTTTCTATTACTCCCTCCGTCCTGTAAACAACTTCTCACTTTCCTTTTTGGGCAGTCCCGAAATTAACTTCACACTTCAATACTTTCCTTATTTGGCAAATTATCTACATCAAAACAGTGCCAAACAATGTCAAACAGTGCCAAACAGTGTCAAAAAGTGTTTAAACAGTGCAAAACAGTGTACTCAACAGTAAAGTCAAATTTATTTTCTTAATCTGTGTGAAGTCAAAGTGTGAAGTTAATTGCGGGACAGAGGTAGTACTTTAATAGTTGAGTTACCCGTGTAGGTGTATGATTAGTCTATAGTGCCAGAGCCCATATACTATCAGTCAAATTCACGGAAACAACTAAATATTTTGAAAATTGATGAAATTCTAGCTGAAACAACTGAATTGTCTGAATCCCCTGAATTAAAGAAATATTGTATTTAGAATATGGCGTATATGTACAATTATACAATTACAAAATTATGTGAAAAATAGTTAAAACGTTCATCAACAATAACTTCAAGTTAATTAAAAGTTGAATGATTAAAGTGATAAGCTAAAATATGGAATAAATTCCACTTTTTGTCCTACGAGTTTTGTGTCAATTCCACATTTAGTCCACGTTTTTCACTTTGTTCACTTTTGACACTTGAATAATGTTTTTTAACCGTTTGTGGTCTTTTCCGGTGATTTTAACCATCGGAAACAATGTCGGAAGGATCATATATGGGCGAAAACACAATAGTCATGTATCAAAAGTGGACAAAGTGAAAGATGTGGATTAAATGTTGAGTTGACCTAAAACTCGTAGGATCAAAAATGGAATTTATTCCTAAAATATGGGTTACCAACCGGACTATTACTATAAATAACTAAAACGCTGCACCATAAATATAGCATTCCTAATCGAGTTTTCTTACCTCCACTTTTTGACCTTTTGATTCAAATAAAATCTTCAAATAGTCCAACACTAAACTAGAGCAGATATACAATCAATGCTGTTAAAGATGTAACACGTAATATTGCGTCCAGACTAAGTTTCAAGCTAGAATTAAACGATACGTAAGCATGAGAAGCCATTTTGTACGTTTTACTTAATGATGATACATGTGTGTATTCATAACAAAAAGAAATGTACTATCTTCCGTTCCATAATTCTTGCAACAGTTTGACTTTCACGTTTGCTAATGCACAACTTTGTCTGTATTAGTAAACATTATAAAAAAGTTGATATTTTGGAAATTCACATTGATAAGAGTTCAATAACATTTTATACGTAATAATTTGATTATGTATATTAGTAGAAAATCATGGTCAAAGTAAGATCTGTGAATAGTGTAAAAATCACAATGTTGCAAGAATTATGGAACGGAAGAAGTATTAGTATAGGACCTGAATGATGAAATACTATCAATTTAGATCCTAACATTTTATAAGGTTTGATTTATTTAATTTTTTTATTAATTCTATTGCTAATATTTGGTAAATTTTTCTTCACAAAAGTTTATTAGTTTAATAAAACTAAATATCATTTAATTTTTACTAAAAATAAAAAAAGTAATAAAATTTATGAAAACTTACATCCTAAATTGATAGTTTTAAATCATTTGAGTCCTAGATTGATAGTTCTCCATCATTGGGGTACTATACCGATGCATTTCATCTTTCAGATCTCGGATTGATGATTCGTCTATCTTTCAGGTCCTAGATTGATATAATTCCCCAAAGAATTTTATACATACATATCTAACAATAGTTTATAAATATCCATCAAATCGTAACAAAATATTTATATTTACAATAAGTATTTTTTTAGTATAAAGAACTAAAAATACAGAATTAAGTATAGTTACTTTTTACAAGTTATTTGCACAACTGAAAGTTTTCAATAGATGGACCCAAGTATTTTATTCCCCTTTAACAATTGATCTATCCAAATTACACCGTTTATTTTAAAGCCCGTATAGAATCACCTTTCAACTTTATATGCATAGAGCTGCATCACTTCATGGATTTGGTTGTCAAATTTAGAATGGACTTTATTTTTCTTGACTAATTAACCACATACTCCTTAGGCCCCCAAGAACGGTTGAACAGTTATCTGAAGATTAAATTGAACCTTAATCACACGCTGATGAAAAGAAAGTGTTGTTCTAGCTCAAGTCTTTACTTGAAGTTTAACCTGAGGGCTCAGACCGTTCTCTTGTGACACCCATATCCATAAGTTGAGCTAGTTTTTCACCATTGTTTAATAATCAGTACGACACTAATACGTAGTATAGTGTAGTAAGGTTCGTATCCACAGGGAAAGGAACACTTCTCTTTTTATAGAAATAGATAAGTAACAACAAGTTTTTTTATGTTTAATTGATGAGCTTAAATTATATTTAAGCACGAAGATGAACGAGTTATGTGGTTTAATTAATGAGAAGGAGACTTGGCTTTGCTTTTATCCACTTAATGAAATGTTCGTCGATCCCGATTATATCTTTAACTATCTTCCTCTCGAATACTCAATCGAGGAGTATATCCAATTCATCAAGGGTAGTTATTAATAACGATACGCGTTCATTAATAAAACTTACTACCGAGTTAATATAGAACACACGCCATATATTCACTCGATAGTAGCAATAAAATATAGATGAAAACGATTGAGATTGATAACCTCAACACAAGCGGTTTATCGGTTTAATCAATATAATTAATTCCCCTTAGGTTATTAACCATGAGACGCATGCATTAACAACCCAAGTTTACTACCGTGAAAGGATCGAATTAATAACAAGCGTATTAATCGACCGATTCTAGTATTAATTAATTTATGAAACAAAACTAGTTGATCCTTTAAGTAATGCTCAAAATATTAATATGTAATAGGAATATGAATTAATTAATATTCAAGGAAGAAGATTAAAGAAAATAACTCACAACTTACAATTCATTAAGATTCAAAGTAGCAAAACCAAGATGGAAGAGTTTAGCTCCTCATTTGGAGACTAAACATGAAGAAAATATAAATAAATAACTTGTCTAAACTGAGCTTAGAAGTATATAGGAATTGGTTCTTTTTTGTGGGAAGGAAAGGGGTCTATTTATAGGGAAATAGAGCATGCAGGTGTGTACCCGATCGGGTATAGAAGGCTCCCGATCGGGTACACTCAGCGGCTTCCCAGAAGGTGAAAAATAGGGTTATACCCGATCGGGCCTGTCGGTCACCCGATCGGGTATGACAATCGAACATGGTCAAAATCTTTCCCGCATGTTGCTTGGTCCCTGGGTTGATCCGATTTGATTTTTCAGAAGGGTACCCGATCGGGTATAGGTCATACCCGACCGGGTACAGACCAAAAACGAGATCTTCACCTTTTTGTCTTGCATTTTTGCACTTTCCTTCCATTTGTGATGTTCACCAATGGTCCCCAAAGTGTTCTTGGACCTGTTTGAGCTCAGAATAAACCTAATCTAAACAAATTACAAATATTTTACAAACTAAACTATTACACCAAATTAAAAGTGTGTAATTTCCAAAGTAACAATCATTCTAAACTAATTAAAAACATAAATTTAAACATGGAAATTACATGAATGTCAGGGGCGCCACAGTATGGATCAATTTGGCTTTGATAACATGCGAGATTACATCATAAAAGATCACTTTATTGGAGTAGCCCACATCTTAATATATCATTTAAATATTTAGAAATATCCGGTATGAAACCAAAACAATTAATCCCCAATATATCACAGAGCATATACTCCCACGAGTCCTACCCTCATTCTCCTTAAAGCTTTACAAACTTTTCTTTTTTTGGTTGTCCCATTAACATTGTCACTTTCCTTTTTAAGTAATGAATTAGTGGTTTTAATTAATTCTCTCCTGCACAAACCTCAACCACACAATTTTTACTTTATTAATTCTCATATTGGTCAAACTTGATGAAGTTTTAAGGGATCGGCCAAAGTCACTATGAAACACATGATATACATGCATACATGTCCATATTAGGGAAAAATGCATATTATTAGTTATACTCCGTATTTTGTTAAATAAATACACAAATTTATGGTCATATATATAAGAGGTAATTTTCTCAAATTTCAATAGAAGAACTATTCAATTATTTAGTTCGAACATAAGAAGCAGGAATCAGCCTTCAATAAAACAGCCCAAACAATAATTGGATTTAATTTAATACATGGATACAAATACAATTAAGCCTTGATAAAGAATTGGCTCATTCTTGACAAGCTAATGATACATTAATTTAATACCCTCGCTATCAACAGTGGTTGGGAGGCACATTTTAGATCAAGCAGGCATATTACAAACAGTGGAGTGAATTGAATTGAAGCTTCAACATAAATTCACAAAACCAAAAATATAAAAAAAGGAACAGATAATATGTGTTAATATATATATTATGTTGTGTGATATATAATTATTTTATTATAAGTTCATTATGAAATATCATTCATTTATTAATTAGTTTAGTTGAGAGGCAGGTTGAAGCTTGAGTTTGCAAGCCCGGCAAGTGATTTGGGAGAGCGTGGAGTTAATCTGGCGAATGGCATGTTCCCTTAATGCCACAGCTTTCTCCATATCCTCCCTTGCTTGCTGCCTAATCCTCTTTGCATTAGCAAACTCTCTCTCCGCCGTCTCTATCTCTCTCCTCGCCTCTTTCCTCGCCTCCTCGGCATACGCCTTCTCCGCCATGGCCACCCTCAATCTTCCCGCGTCTGACGATGATGATGACGAACCGATCGACAGCTGCAATAGTTGCGATGGCGTGGAATCATCCTCGCCTTCATTTGATGTCGCGGGAACGTCCAATAACCCGCGACGGGTCGGAGTGGAGCCCGACATTGTTGCTGTTGCGGTTGCGGTTGTTAAGAGCTGAAGCTCTAGGTTGTGTTTATCACGCGCGTTGTAAAAGTTGTTGCTCGACGCGCCGAGTATGTTCATAGGAGCGGTGGTCGTCCCCGCGGGATTGTTGTGGGATGACGGCATGAGGAGGCCGGGCCAGCAGGATGCGGCGGCGCTGAGATTGGTGTCGCTGGATGGACTTGCGCTTGAGGCGGTGCGGGATAGGCAGGGAGCAGCCGTGGGTTTAACGTGGGGTTGTGATTCCGGCCGGCCGATGCGGCCCATGCTACAAGCGTCTTGGTGCTCTATAAAGCTCTCCACCCTTTCAATAAAAGAAAAATAGATAGAGTTAATTAAATAAATTTAAACCAAGTTTATTAAGACTACTTATTTCATTTTAAATATTCCATTTTAAATATTCACTCATTGTAATAAAATTGTTCCCGGTTTGATTTGGATCAGAGTTTAAGAAAGTAGAAATAAAATGAAAATGTATTGTCATGGTTTAGTAAGAAAAAAATAAATTAATGTTACCTATACAAACTTTCCTAAAAGAGAAATGTGAAGATTTTTTTTAGAATTTTTGACATTCCAAGTAGGTGGAAAGAATTTTAGGGACATATAGATTAATTTGTAATAAATGATCAAGATTGTTTGATCATAAATATGACATTCTAATTTTCTTACAATTACTACCTCCATGGCTCCATACAAAAAATAACTCATGAAAAAATATAATTTTGTAGTTGATATTGTCCGTGCAAAATACTTCGTATGAATGATATGATCTCACAGACAGAAGTATTAGCAAACATGAGATGTGACAAATCTAACAGGATACATATAGAGCATTTGGCAGATATATTATTAAATAAAGAAAAATAATTGTGTCGTGGATAATTTAATTCTAAAAATAAGGAAGATTGTGAACCAAAAAAATGGCCAAATATCCTATTAACCAATATTGTGAGCCATTAAATATGACTATATAGGGTATCTGATCTAGGACCGATCATAGTAGAAAGATAGGGATAAACCAAATGAGACATGGAGTAGCATAAAAGTACTAGTGGACAGTTTGATTTAATACATACAAAATACTTTAATATTAAATGTTATTGGTAACATTTTAAATACATTTAAAGCAATCTCTATATTATTAAACGAACCTATACAATGACAAACATGTAAGATCTAATTTAAAAACCCCATTTTGAGACGGACAAATTTAATTATTGTACGTATGTGTTAGCCGGATCGAGTCGGAGCAATAACGAAATTAAAAGTGTAATGATTATTCTACAATACTTTTGTGTGCAAAATGTTAAAAATAAGTAGTGGAGCTAATAAATTAAACCCAAAAAACAAAAAGTGGTCTTTTAAAATGTGAGGTAGTGATTTAATTTTGGTGGATATTAGCTTTATTAAGGTGGAAAAGTAGAAGAAACAAAGGACAATGGGAAATGGATGGCATTGCATGAGATTCACATGTGCCCTCATTGATGAATGAATTGAGTAGAAGCTAAACTATATAGCTTAGGCGGTATGGAAACGGAAAAAAGGAAAAAGGGAGAAGAAAAGAGAAACTTAAAAGCAGAAGTTAATTAGCTAGAGAGAATCGCAAAAGAAGAAGCTAAAGCTTTGAAAAAAGCAGAAAAGAAAAAGCGTCCACTTTATGCGTGTCAAACCCAATTCCCAAGGAAAAATAAGTTTGTTTTTTGTAGTCAGAATTTCATCTTTATCTTCTCCTCTGAACAGTCCAAGAAAAATACAAAGATCCATTCATTTCCAGTTAATTTGGTTCAACAATCCTGTATTCCTGTATTCCCTGTTTTCAAAATTTTTGTGCCACTTTTCTTTCCCCACTGTTTTAAGACTATCATTTTTCTCTGTTTTTTTTTTTAATCCCCTAAAAACCCAACACAATTTCAAAATACTTATCTTACTTTCTTTTGAGTTTTTGTTTAATATACCCATCCCGGCCAATTCCTTTATAAAATGACCTACTCAAAATGCACTACACTACTTTTTGTAGTGTATTGGAAAATCTTCAGTGCGAACTCCAATACTCTTTCTGAAACTACATGAAACATTTGGAGAGTATTTTGGAACATAAAAGATACAGTCTTGAGTCTTTATCACTCACATCAAATATATTAAACTAAAAAAATAGCCAAAAAAATTGAATATTAATCCAATGATTATTGGGATCTAAATTATAGAATTATTGACAAAGGCATGACTAAAATAAAAGTAGTGTACAAAATTATGTTTTTTATTTTATTTTATTTTACTTTTAGTGACTATGATGGTATAGTGGCCATAGTCATAGTTTACAAAATTATGGTACAGTGGCCATAATCATATATTCATAATAATTTTGATCATTTTTGCATCTGTATATTATTGATACTTAAGGAAATATATCTTATTACTACGTAATAAGTAGTATGAAATATTGACGACTACAAGACCGAAATAAAGATAACATATAAAAATATGTTTTTTTATAGATTTAGTGAATATCATGGTAACTTTAGCCACGGTGCGTAATAATTATAGTAATATTTTTATTCACATGTTAGATGAAGTATTTGAACAATTTTTAAGGAAAAACTTCAATTATTCTGATATTTTTTTAAATATTACTGAAATAAAATATATTGACGAAAATATAACTAAAAATTACAAAGTACATTAATATACTATTATGGTATTTTTTCCTGTAAAAATTAAAGCAACTAAACTTACTACGTAGTACTATATATAATTGCTGCATTTGAAACTTCACATTTTTTTAAATAAGGTTTATTTCTTCATCATAAATATATTCCCTGTAATTATTTTTTTTATATTATGATTGTTATCAAACATATACGTAGTACTCGGTAATAAAAAATGATTGAGCATCGATCTTCAATTCTTCCATAAGGGAGGGGGAAGGATAATTAATAATGATTGAAAATGAAGAAGCGAAAAGAGATGAGAGAAGGATTTAATTATTACCGGGAGAAAACGCGGCCGCAGTCGCAGGAGTGGCCGCGAGTGCCGCAGGTTTTGAGGTGGGCCTTGAAGTCCGACTGCACGGCGTAGGCCTTGGAACACTTGTCGCACACCCACTGCTTGTGGCTGCTGTGCTTCCGCCGGAAGTGCTTCTTGATTCCGACGAGGTCGCCGAGCGCGTGGCACGGGTCGTGGTGGAGGCACGTCGGCTCCGGGCACACGAACACCCGCTTCCGCACCGCCGGCGTCTCCCGCTTCAGCAGCTTCCACGGCACCTTGTGCCGCCGCCGGTGCATCTGCAGGTTCTGGTCCCTCTGGAACCCCTGGTTGCAGATCTCGCACACGTACCTGTCTGACTCCAGCAGCGTCTTCGGCGACAGCGACACCACCTCCGCGTCCGGATCTGCTCCGCCGCCGCCACCCATTTCCAAATTTCATTAATATTTCTCATTTTCGAATTATAATATTCTTTCATTAATCAAACAAAACAAAACAAAACAAAACATAACAAACATCCCTCATCCCCTCCATCCCCTTAACAATTATTAATGTACTAGCTAGCGAGTTAGCCGAGTTCACCACAAACAAATTACGGGATAGATCGATTTCGTCTCCAAATGTTGCACGGAAACGCGAAAATATGAAAGAAACGGGAAACGAGAAACGTGACACAAGAAAAGCTTGTTTGGAAAGTTTATAAAGAATTTTCGTAGAGTTTCAGAAAGTTTCTGGTATCAAAATGTTTTTGGATCCCTGCCAAATCCTTCCCGTGAATCCTTGCAAAAAATCTTTCCATTTCATCCCGTGTTTTTTGTAGTGATTTTTTATTATTTGGGTTTTCAAAGTATGATAAGAATATAAAACCCAAAAAAGATTTAAAAATAAATAAATTTATTGGAGTACGTACCCGGAGTGCCGGCAGGGCGGCGCTTCCGCTTGCTGTTGCTGCCATCATCCAAAGTGGGGAAGGGCTCGGAGGAAGAAGAAGGAGTGGCGCTGGTGTTATTGTTGTTGCTTAACATGGCTCTCTACCTAAATAATTAACAATATCTGAAAATAAAATAATGTTTTTTATTGGATCAATTTGTTCAGTGCTGAACAGAGAAATGAGTAAAACTTAGGTAGTGACTTTGGAAGATGATGACTGTGGAATGTATACTGTACGTATACCATATATATAGTGGTCGCTCTGCTAGCATCTCATATATATACAGACAGAGACATATACAAATATTATTATTAATATAATAATGCTCAATTGAAAAGATGTTTTTAATACTCCGTATATAGATGTTTGATTTTTAGTTAGTTAAAATAAAAGTGTTGTAATCACCAAAAAAAAATTAAAAAATAAAAGTGTTGTTGAAAAATCATATATATATATATATATGATATTTTAATGTTTAAGGAAAGAGGGTTTTTAAAAAATATTATTAAATTAAATTTTTTGCAAAAATATGACTAATAATCACAATAGCACAAATTAAAAGTGAATTTATTTTTTAAAATAAATTTATTTTCAAAAATATGACTAATAAATATGAAAAATTTATGTGTTTGATACAAATAAATAGAGGAAAGATCTCCTTAGACAGTCCGGACAAACTAAAAGTTATTTTAGATGAAAATGAGAATGAATTTTAATTATTGATGTCATAAAATATAGACGAGACCAAATTTTAAGTTCAAATCCTAATTGTGAAAAACTTTAGTGAAAAATGTTGATAAGTGTATATGGATGTAGAACAGTGCTCGTTCACAGTACAATTAAAAGTGCCTCTGTAAAATAAATTATGTACAGTTTTTACTTTTTAGTTATATTATGATAAAAACTTCTTAGCAAATTTAAACATTGTTTTATCAGCGAAATGAAAGCTTATATTAAATCAATAAATCATTTGTCACTTGGTTGACAATACAATCAAGAATAGAAACAAAGCTAAATCGCTGATCTGAGATAAAAACATGTGATCGGGTTAAGGCATGAGCCTCATGATTTACAGACCTTCTACCAAAAGAGATATTTAAATTACTCTGTGTTTTCAAAATCTTCTGTATGTCATCAATGACCAGATGTAAATATTACGATCCTTCTCCTTTCTTATGGCCCTGCACCACTGTAAGAGCATCCGTTTCGATATCCACTTTCTGTCAACCTGCCTAAGCTGCACACAAAATAGCATCTCGCACGCCCAAAGCCCATGTCTCCTTAATAAACCATTCTGCCTTGCTTGGAACTCCTTGAGCCTTAACAAATTCCCCTTTATCATCACATGCAATCCACCCCATGCTCAAATCCCCCCAGACTGATTGACCGCCGCATAAACTAACATTAAGTTTCAAGTATCCCGGCTTGGGCCGTTGTCATGCGGTCACACCATTTCTACCCATCACCATCGCCAATTGTCTCGCATTGCTATCTTGTGACTCCCTCCAGCTCGCCAACATGATCCATCCAACATGGAGGACTCTTGCCGCCTCTTGTTTTTCTCCTTCCAAATCACATTGTTCTGCAAGTTTCATATATATACTCCATAGGATAGAGATGAATATGTTTCGAGCCTCCTTATTTGGGTGATCCAGCTTCTGCCGCAACCACTGCTCCACTGGAGTCTGCTCCCTCTCAGTTTGAATTCCAGCTGCTAGACCTCCCTCACATGAGTACAAGACCAGATCTCATGGACTATGGACTCCTCCAAATCCCCACATAGTTGCAGCCGTCCTGTATGCTCAGTCCATTCCTCCTTAGTTTATCCACCGTTGGTAAGGTACCATCCAACACCTGCTAAATAAAATATTTGAATTTCATGGTAAACCGAAGTTCCTAGACCTGTCCCCACCCACTCCATTTCCCTACCTGCATATCCCCCATAAGTAATTTGTAGCAACTTTTGTGTGAGAAGATTCCACTTCTTTCACCTATCCACCACAAACCATCTTTCTTGTCCTACATACTAATGAGAATACTCATAATTAGAGCCATATCAGCCGAAGTAAATATTTCCCTAATTCCTCATGATTCCAATGTTTTCTTGTAAAATCACGAAGGGCAGTTACATTCATATCCCTTACCTCGACTGGCTGCATTGATGTAATTTTTCCAGATCCCAGTCCTGGTAGCCAGGTATCCGCCCAGACTTGAACATCAATACCATTCCACACTCTTCTTCTGATTTATTTTTCAGTATAGCTTGAGTCTAAACAATACTTCTCCAAATAAAAGAACGATTATTACCAAAATTAGCACTTAAGAAAATAGAATTTGGGAAGTACCTTACTTTAAGAACATGGCTCATGAGACTTCCAGTTTCCGTGATGAGACGTCATCCTTGTTTGATTAGCATAGCTAAATTAAATTCTCAAATCCTCCTGAATCCCAAACTCAAACCTCTTTCAGCTTGCACATAGCCTCCCAACGTCTCCATCTCAATTCTTATTGATCAAACTTTGAACCTCTCCACAAAAACTTATTCATCAATTGTTCAATCTCATCGCACAAGTCGTTTGGTAGTAAATAGACATTCATGGCATAATTTGGCATGGCTTGAATAACACTTCACAGAAGTATCGTGCGCCTTGCTTTTGGACAAAAATCAATTATTTCAAATTTTTTATCCTGCTAAAAATCCGATCCCAAAGGTAGCCGAAAGTAGTGATTTTATTCTTCCTTACTAGAGCTAGCAGCCCCATGCATGTAATGATAAGTCTGTATTTCGACATGCATTTGATGCATGTTGAGATCAAATTTTGATGATTTTCATAGGTTAAAGGTGTCATAAGTCTCATTTTTAGCTCAAGTCATATTTTATCGACATTGGTTCATGTTTTCTATTTTTGAAGTCAAAATCAGGGAATTTGAGCCCAACACTAGCACTTGAAAAGCAATCGAACGAGTCAAGATGCAATCGAGAGAGAATCAAGATATTTGGAGGTCATCGGGTGTTCACGATGAAGATTAGATGATAAAAGAGCTCTAGGATTGGCTACGAGATCAAAAGAAGCCAAGTAGAGGTTGAAAACGGCGATCAGAGTGACGTTCTGTCAATCATTCAAGCATATCTTTTTGTAGAAACATTTAAAGTACAAGATTCAAGTTCCATATGAAAGCCAACATCATGGACCACAAATCATATGGGACACCATTGCAGAAATATGAGAGGAGCAAGGTGAAACTAAACGAGGAAGTCAGATAATCGCCGTTGAGGTTTCAGAATGCGATATTCCACCATTTTATTCATATCTTTTGATTGGATGATTGAAAATCTATTTTTTCAAGATTTGGTGGATAGGGAACTTTATTATCTACAACTTTCATGCACTAATAATTGTCAAATTTGGAAGGGAACGACGCACTCCATGCACCCGAAGTACGCACGCCGTGTGCGGAAGAAGAAAATCACGGGATAGCTATTGCCGGTCAGGCATGTCGTGCCTGACCCCGAGATGTGCGTTTCTTGCTCCATACACACTGGGGGACTCACGTTGTGCATGGGTGCCATGAGTGCGCTCCCAGTGTCCTATTTTGCCCAGAATTGCTCCATTTTTTCTATTTAAACAGCCTGTAAACTCCCGTTTTCAAGATGGAGCTTAGAGAAAGTGCCTAATACGAAATTTAGAGAACTTCTGAGCCTTGTTCATCAATATTTTGGGATTCTTTTTAAGTTTATTCTTTTTAATTAATGACAATTAATTCTTTTTATCTCAATTCTATTGATTCTTCAATTATGAATTGTGAGTAGTTTTAATTAAGGATTTGGGATTGATGAAGGGCTTAATCATGATGTATGGCTAATTTCTTGATGGTTTAAATTGCATGAATCCTTATTTAATTTGTGTATGAATAATTTAATTTATATCTCTTGTAACATAGAACGGCCGCTAGAATTATAATTGCATGTAGAATGAATTAAGAGAGATATAATTTATTCCAGGACACCTTCACACACACTTAATCGTTCACTAAGAGATTAGTAACGATTAAGGGGTCGTACGCTCGCTCGTTTTGGCAATAATTTTAGATACCAGTCGCATGAGAGATCAATCTGGTTCCATAATTTATTGTACTCTACTATACGCCGCGAGAGCGATTAGAACTTAGTATTGATTAGCGTTGTTCAATTAAATAACTTTCATGTGATTAAGCCTGATCAGCGAGAAATCTGATTACCCCGAAATCAATCCTTGTTCTCTTCGTCATTAATTAGAAATAACTCCTTAGTTTAATCGTTTTATTCGCATTTTAAAATTTCTAAACCAATAATCTTGCACATTTGCATTTATTTTATTTCTTTTTAATCGCTAAATCTAATTAATTCCTGATTTCCTTTATCCGTCCCTGTGGAGACGATACTCGTACTTACACCCTTTACTACGATCTATTTTAAGTGCGAGAAAACTCACATCAGATAACGACTTTGCCCGTCCGCTCTCGGAATGCCCAAATACTGACAACAATAATCTTTGAATGACTCTCTCACGTTCTGGCTAAAGGTCAAAGAGGATTTATTAAAATTGACCATCTGCCCTGAATTTGTTTCATAGTGCTACAAAATACTTCTCACAATTGCACACTCACTATTAGTTGCTTTAACAAATAGAAAACTATCAGCAGTCTATCGGGTTAAAAAAATAGAAAACTATTATAAGCAATTAATAAGTGAGACACCATTGGCGCCTTTCTACAAACTGCTACCCCATGCACCTCCCCTATATCTTCACCTTGTCTCAACATAGCACTCAAACCTTCTGGCACCAAAATGAATAAATAGGGCGACAACGGACCCCCCTAGCGCTGCCCCCTCCTTGGAATAATGGGTCCCAAGTATTCCTTCTCAAAGTGGATGTAATAGCTAACTGTAGAAACACATATCATGAAAATATCCACCCATCTGGAGCTAAACCTCATACATATATAACATAATTTCTTTTAAGAAATCCCAACTTTGTCATACGTTTTGCTCATGTCAAGCTTTAGAACTACATGTCCCTTCTTAATTACCAAAACATTTTCATTTTAAGGTGTGTTAAATTTCAAAGGCCACAATAATATTGTCAACTTTCGACCTACCAGGAATAAAGACACCTTGGTTCTCCCCCACTAACCCACCCAGAATAACCTTCAGCCAATTAGCTATAACCTTTGAAAAAAATTATAAACTACATTAAATAG